ATCAGTGGCTCCAATAAGCAGTCCTCGTATACCTGAAGTTGATCAAAAGTCTCTCTAAGCCTTCAATAAACAAGCCCACTAAAGCTGTTTATACAGACAGAAAATGAGCTGCTCCAGCTAGAATTTCATGAGCTCACAAATGTTTCTCTCTAGGAAGGTGAGGTAGAAACCATTTCACAAAGATTAATGTCTAAGCTTTTTGAATTAAAATTGAAACGTGTCAATTTTACATGCCTGTCCTTGCAACAAATGTGATATTATCCATTTGATTGATAACAGAGTAAAAGGTTGTATTTTCTGTTGTTTTGGAGTTCTCTTTTGAAAGTGAAAAGATGTCATTTTCCATACCACTGTACCTAAATCACCTCCTAGTATTTTATTAATCAAATTCTGCCTAAGGAAGATATGAGGAATTACGTTTTTTGAAGGACATTGAAAATCAGCGCACCTTTGCATATTTAAAGATGGTAAGGGGAACGCCTCTTCTCATATCATGTAAGTTTCTAAAGTTCAGTGAATTTCAATCTGACACATCTCTATGTAAAGATATGACTTACATCTCTACATAAATATTTTCAGATGCAGACTCCTAAGTGAGAGACCTTGCCCTACCTTTCTCTCAAAGGGGGCATGTCTACTCACGATTAACCTCCAAGCAACAAGAATTTACTCAAGAAGTTTAAAGAAACCATTGTAGTTACACTGAGCAAAGTCCGTATTTAGCTGTTTATTATCCTAGCTATGTAAGTAAGCTAGAAGGGGAACCTTTATCTTCCAGCTGGTTCTGGAACATGAAATATGACCAAAATCATCTTAGGCTCCGTATATTGCAGCTTCTCAAGCTCTTCCCCGTACCTCACGAACACGAAGAGTTTACACCCTCTGGAAGCTGCAGATTTGCTTCCACGCTTCTTTCCAGTGCTCACGGGTACAAGCAGCATCCAAGCAAGCTCGCTGCAACAATGTTGGAAATCTCCGTGGTTTGCAACGCTGCTTGGCTGACTCCCAACTATTTCGCTTGGGATATTATCTAGCTGGAGGTATGTAGTTCGAGGTGGTATTTAGATCGAGGTAGATACAGTTGCAGCAGCGGTAACACCGGCTGACAAAGCGAAGGGAGACCGCGGGGAAGCTGGCCTTTGGAAGAAAAGCCCTGAGTATTCAACGCAGGCACGGGGACGAAGCCAACCAACACAACCGTGCCCGTCGCTAACTCTCCATCATCTGAAAAAACAACTGTTTTCCTGGCTGAAATACCGGCCGCGAAGTTGCCCAACATGAGAAAACGCACTTGGAGGAAAGCTCCCCGCGCGGAGGATCAGCCGGGCAACGCCAGACCCAGACCTGACCGAACCGCCGG